TTTTTCTCCTTGAAATAAAAGTAGAGTAATTGATTGCCAGTCTAAAAAAGGAACTACTTCAAAACATTCTGCTTTTTAATAATGTATATAAAAATATGTTTTAAATTATTTATATAATCAACTGTACGAAACCAAAATGAACAAAGGGCATATTTATCTTCACGTAACGGGCTACTTACTAGAAGGTAGGCAGATATGGCCACTGAACATCAGGAGTTACTAATTAGGGTTTAAATTCTGGTGAATAGTCTGACTGCGCGTTTGTTTTAATAACCACAATAATGGGTGAGGAAATCAATTTCTCTTACAACGTCTTCAGGAAAGGCAATTTCTCCTTAGGCAGATAATCATCGTGCATTTCGTCACAATTAATCAAACAAATTAATTAATTTTATACATAAAGTATCTTAGGTACGGAATAATGGTTTGTTTATATAAACAGATTAATACTTGTTGACAAGGATTCAAAAAAATCATTATTACTCAGCCTTTAATACATTAGTCATTGATATAAAAGTTTCATAAGTTTTTTTAAATAAAACTTTATATCCTTTACATATACGTTATTAGATTATTTTAGAACACAGAATCCTTCTAAAATTCTTTTATAATTAATTACGTAGCAATGAAAAGCTTTGAGATATTTTAAACTTATATAAATCTTAATAAAATTGCCTTAAATCCTATTCTGCTATCCGCACCATATTGCAGAAGTGTTTCTAAGAAGGAGTGATCACTTCGGTAGATGATTTGTTCTTCAAAATATTTCTAAATTCACAGCATTTCTACAAACGTTTTCTCTGGAATTCTTTTAGAAAAAGCAGCAAGTTTTACTAGAACATTTTTCATTTGAAAGATTCTTCTTCTATTAAATATTCTCCAACTTTACCGTGAAACATAAACGCTATGGAATTAAGCATACCTTGACGGTTAATTGTGACTCTGCGTTCCTAAAATCTGGTGTGTTAATTTAAAAATTACCTCAGTTTTTTTTTTATTTTTCCTCTGTTGACTTTCCGGATCTAAGTGCTGCTTGCGTCTAAGAAAACAAATCATTAATGATCTGGATGTCGGCCAGGCTTGGCTACTTTCTTAAGCAATGAATGAAATTCTTTAATTGTTCTCAAAATAAGACCATTTGCTTTGTTAACATAATTTGTGTTTTAACGTATAACCTTGACTTTCACTTTAAACAAATTCCATAAAAATAAATTTTGTGTCTTAAAAGCATTTTATATAGAATTAACACAAACAACGGTAAAATACTTCACCGGCAGTTAATTAATTTCGTTGTTTGTTTGCGATGTTCCTTTCCAAATGCGTTGCATATGAAATTCGTGCACCAATTAATTTTAATTTTACTACTTTAATCTACTTTAAGTGCCTGAGCGTACCTTTAAAAAGAAAACTTATAGTGATGACTACTCATCAAATTTTACTCCTGGCACAGATGCCATGAAGAGACTTCAGGTATTCTTGGCACAGAAGTTCGGTTCTTCAGGTTCCCAACTTCAATCCGCAAACAGTATGACACTTGGAGTCACATAATTTTGAAACAACAAGTGTTGAGAGAGAAGCTTTAAGTTTAATAATGTTGCGTATAGATATGAACTACCGTAAAAGTTAATATCTGTCTTTTAAGTAGCAGGAATATAAATACTTTGTTTTGGTAAAGTAGCCAAACTGCTTTTTTCTCATGCATTATTCTGAAAAATTATTCTAATGATTTCGAATATAGCACGTAAATTCGTAATCTTTGTATTCATTTGAAATAATTTTTTAAAGTTTCGGATCATTAAATTATTACAAAGAGGGAAAATACAAATTATATTGTAACAAGTTCTTTGAAACTAGTAATAAGTTCGCTGAGCGAAACCATACAACGGATATTATAGCAGAACTAATTTTCTAATTTTAGTTTCATTTTTATGTTTAACATTATGTAAACTTATAATTAAACACACTGGAGTTCATTCTTTAATTCATCTGGGCTCAAGAAGATAATAATTTTGAATAAAAGCTTTATTACCTTTAAGAGATTTTTACCGCTTTTTATTTATTAATTGCCGTTTTTGGCTGGTCAGTTTAGTTCTACTATGCAGATATGAAATCCAAAAAAAAGTATGATTTTAGTTCCAGTTTAGCAAAATATTATTTTGTGAGTCATAAAAGAACAGAAAATTATTATATTAATATAAATATTTTACAGACACTTATACCTCACCATAAGCAATTTGAAAAGAAGAACGAAATTTTTATAAAGGAAGAAAAATGTACTTCTTCAACAGCTGCCAAACTTAAGCGAAAACTGCAATTTTTTTTACTAAGAGTTTGAAATTATTACCACATATATTCGTTCATAATAAAAATGGCTTTTCAGAAATACATAATATATACAGGGGTTGGACAAAAATATGGAAACACATGTTTCATGAAAAACATGTTTCTTTGCTTAATATGGTGTAGGAAACCCGTTGGCATCCAAAACAGTTTGCAGTCTTCTCGGAATGGATAAATACAGTTCCTGTATGTTTGCCAAGGGAATATTATACCATTCTTCCTGCAAAACGGTGGCAAGTTCAGATAACGATGTTGGCGGTGGATAACGAGAACGCACTTTCCGTTCCAATGTAGACCACAAAGGTTCGATAATATTCAGGTCTGGTGACTGTGGTGGCCAGGGGAGATGGGACAACTCATCCTCGTGCTCAGAAAACCAGTCCTGGACAATGTGAGCTGTGTGAACAGGGGCTTTGTCGTCTTGGAAGACACCATCACCATCGGGGAACAAAGTTTGTACCATGGGATGAACTTGATCGGCCAAAATGTTCACATAAGTCTTGGCAGTCATGTGCCCTGACACAGTTATCATGGGGCTAGCAGAGAACCACGATATGGCTGCCCAAACCATAACAGAACCCCCGCCATGTTTCACTCTTGGCAACAAGCAGTCTGTATTATAGGCTTGAGATGGCGTTCTCCAGACGTAAACTCGGCCAGAAGTGGGAAACAATGTGAAAGAAGACTCGTCAGACCATATTATATTACTCGCTTCCACTGCTCTATAGTCCAGGCTTTATGACTTAAACACCACCTTTTCCTGTTACGGGCATTACGGGCATTAGCATCACTGATGAGTGGCTTCTCAATTGCAGCACGGCCAGCAATTCCCTGTTTATGAAGCTCCCTTCTAATTGTTTTGGTACTCACAGGGTTCGGTAACACAACATTCATTTCAGCAGTAACTTTTGCAGCTGTGGTCTTCTTATTTTTCGTCACAATTGCCCTTAATGATCGTCTGTCACGATCACTCAGGACACACTTTCGTCCGCGCTGTGATTTAGCAGATGATGTTTTTTCCGCTTTTCAAATATGCGGAATAAATCTTCGATACAGTACCTCTTGAAACACTAAACAAACACCTCGGCTACCTACCTTGCTTACGGAAGCACCTACCATACGTGCTCCAACAATTTGCCCACGTTCGAAGTCTGTTAACTCTGACATAATGCAATGCAATGACAACCTCACATAACAGTACTCCGACAACAACTGAACTGTTTAGCACATTTACGAAGTTGTATAGGTGGCGTCAGTAGTCAAAAACGCCAGCGCCACCTACATATTTTTCATTAAAATCAATCTTTCTTTTCAACATGCATTTCACAAGTTTCCATATTTTGTCCATCCACTGTATATCGAACAATCGAATGAGTAGTGTAACACATGTTCTGTAACATGAAAAAATTGTTTAAAAACCGTAATAGAATTATTTTTATACAAACGAGAGTTCAAAATTAAAGTAACCGGCCAAAAAAAAAGTAAAAACAGAACATTCAGAAATTGTATTTAGTGGCTATGCTATATCTAGTTTGTACTTGTATCTGTTACACGTAACAGATATTCTGAAGAATGTCGACTGATTTCCAAGTGCTAGTAGATCAGATGTATATTTCAAAGTAGTAACTCTTGAACATGGTTTCATAACCTAGATGCAGAATAATATAGTATAGATTGAGTGGGAGTTTATTTTATCAGATGCTGCCAATGGTAAAATTTCATTGTGCGCCAGACAAAAAAACGTTTCTGAATCTTTCACTAACTTCTTTCCCAACCCAAAGATTTTATTGATACCTAAAGTCTTTCTCATGTTCTGATAACTACTTGCTATTACGGAGTTCAAGTCTGGATTGGATTCATAGCTATCGGAATTGGAGTGGAAGATCAATGGATTAAATTAGCATATTCCGATGATTCAATTTTATGTAGTACTTCTGCACTGTATTAGAATGTGAGTGTATCCCATGATATTATAGATCCCTTCTATCTGCAAACCACTTCATGTTGCTCAGACCCCGTATTCATGTTATATATATCAGCTATTGTCGTCCATCGAAGCAGTCGCTGAGACATATGAGCTACTGTGACATTCTCGCTGTTTATTTTGTGTCCTGACTCTTGAGCATTCTGATGATCAAACCGTATTCCAAGAAGTATCATACAAAATATCAAGATTGCTGTTGCTGAAAGAAACTGATCACTAACTTCGCTTCAGACAACATTTTCATTCATATTCCTCTGATATGAAGCCCTTGAAATTCTGATTCCTGTGGAGCATTTGTTTAGTACAATGGGAGTAAGACTCTGATACACAAATCAGTCATCATTCAATGCAACACAATTACAACCTCCATTGCATAAATTCTATGGGTCTTAGTCTTTAAAATCTTCCCACCAACACTTGAATCCGTACCATACCGTTAATCATACCCCTACTGCTCAAAGCTTGAGGGAGGTCAGTTTGTTGTTAAAGATTTTTCCCATGACATTGTTTTATCTGTGTATTAAGTTCATGTATTTGAGAGATTCAATGATTGAAACTTAACCCTAAAGTTTATAAGAAAATTAACAATTAATATAATAACAAAAAAACAGAAAATATAAATATTAAACTACATTTAATGGCTATACTATAACTTAATCGTATCTTGTTTTCTTAGAATCCCGATCCTATCCTCAGCATGCGGGTGGTACCCATACCAGAGAGGAAATACCATGTGATTCTCGAATTCCAAGAGATGGCCCGAGCTCCTAGACCTCATTCTTCTACTTCTGGACTTCTTGTATTCGAGCCAGAGGAGAGCAATTCCACTACGTTCAGAGAACAGATTCATTACTTCTCTTGGATAAGGGAGTCTCACATAGCCACCATGGGGATGCTCCTGCAAAATGTAGAAAAAATAAGTAAGTACTATTATTTACTTAAGTAGCACTTTATAAAAAGCCACATTAGTTCCTTTGTCCATGACAATTTATTTATCTGATAACAAAGATTATTCGTGCAGAAAAATCTTCATAAATCATTGCATAAATTAAATGAGGAATAGAAGTACAATTAATGAATAAATAAAATTGTCTTCAACCTTGTACCTCATGTTATTCAAATGAGTAGAAGTGGAAATATATTCAGTAAGAATTCGGTGAACGTTTTCCCCACAAGTTACAAGATAAATACATTTTCTCAATGATATAGTAAAAAATAAATATGAGCAATGAAACAAATGTAAATGATATGATAAATTCAAAAGCATAGCAACTCAGGAATCTTCAAGTTTTATGATATGTTTGGCCTGTACGTGAGTTGTACTTTGATTACAAAATATCTCTAGCATAATACAGAATTAGTTGCTGTTCAGAAATATACAAAAGGTAAACAAAACAATGCAATAAGCATTCTTCTCTCACATGTAGCTACAATAGTTCTTTTAGCATAGGAAGAGGTTAGATTAATTGATAAAGGCAAAGCAATAAAAGGGCTATCTTCCTACGAATATCTGTTTTTATATAAAAGCTGGGATTTTAAATAATTTGCAGGTATCAATTTATCTTATGGAATTCTTCTTTGCCTCAAAGAAGACATTCTGTTATATTAAACCACAGCGCTGATTTCTTTAAGAAATATAGAAGGTGGATTAGATGACAATCGTTTTGATGCTCCAGGCACTTCAAAATTGTTTCTGAATGCATTTAAAAACTTCATTATGGTTTTATGGTTATAATTATTTTCATCTTCATTATCTTCTAGACAAATGATATTGTTTCTTTCCTCATTAAGATTTAACACAATAAATCTCATACAATAACCAATATAATCTCACAGTAATAAGCAATATAATCTCACAATTGAAACTGATTTGGCAGAGCAAATAATGCGATGTTGTAATTATGATCATAAACTTTATAATCCCCAAAAGAATTTACATTGATATTTAAATACATTGTTCCCCTTCGCTTTTATCTTAATTTAGATTTGCTTCTAACGTCTTCATGTTACCATGTCGCATTGTTAATTGGCTTAACGCATTTTTCAGTTTCATTTTAAACTGCTTTAATAGTTTCGTTTAGTGATTTTAAATAAATCAAAGTGTAGTATTTGGAAGCATCAAACATTTGACAGAATTGGAGTGTAGTTAATCGTCGTTCTAGTACAATATGATTTTTTTATATTTTTTCGAGTCTTTTTTTTTTCTATGGAGGTAGAATAAATAATACTTTTATTTACAGCCAAACTAGAATGTTTCGTTAAATTGCGTATTTGTTATAGCCTATTAAATTCTGTTTCCTGCTGTTAGGTAAGCATCTAATTTTTAACTGCACTTGCTTGTCATCATTGTATCATTATTAATTTCACTTTATGTGTTCATTACTCCCCTGTACATTCTGATTGGAGACACAAAAAGAAGCAGCAGTATGTTATAGAGAATAGCGGACTCGATGTAGTGGATGACTCGGCTTTTGTAAATTATTGAATTTAAAAAATGGTAGAATACTTGTTACTTCTGTCAAATGAGGATAATCTGAAAAACTTGAAAACAAGTTTTATACGTTTACAGTATGTAAATATTGCTAAATAATCAAGTTTTTTGGATTTTGTATTTGAAGGATATGATGTGATGTGATATGCCCAGCCCTACCCTCTTGCAGACTTACGTTGCCCTATGGCCTTTTTTGCGGGCTGCGCCAGGGCAAGCCGGAAATAACAACTGGATTTGAAAGATGCTTTAAATGCACAGCACAATATGCTGCTAGAGTAGGTCCTTGCTCTGGCGTTAACGATATAACGATAGTATGTAGTGTTAATGCTCCAACGGTGTGATGTTGAACTGCAATGAAAACGCTAATGACGGAACATCACATGAAAATTTTATTGAACGCCCCCCAAAAAAATTGGCTACATACAATACAGAAGAGAAAAACCTAAATCTTTTCCTTAAAATCAAATTCTATACATTTTACGTGCGAGAGCAATTCGTGGCTCTCGAGCTTGCGTTTTTAACATTGCCAACGATTTAATTATTTTAATAAAGACTATTTTAACAACTATTGAAAACGTATTTGTAAGTTAAAAAACAACAATTTTCAGCTTATGCTCACGAGACATCCTTATCCATATAAATCTTCAGTCTCTTCTTCTTTTATGTGACCTTATCACAATAGTTCCAACTAGGGGATGTATTATATATCTAGTAACAATTACATTAGAACATTAAAAGAATATTCGATGAACATTAGAAGAGCAGACGGTATGCATATACAAACATAAAAATATTACGCACGAAATTAGATTATTTAGTCATGAATAAGTACTTAAGATGTAGTCTAAGTATATACAAAGAAAGTGCTTTAACAATTTTGAATAATTACAGTATTGTAAGAGCAAAAGATACAAGATGGTTTAGAGTTATGTACATGTCTTGAGGCGTTAGTCTATCTCCTGAGAGGGCTGGCTGCATGGGCGTTTTCGTGGTTTTCCCCATGTGTAACATGTATACGAGCCAATTTCCCTTAGAAAGTCCTCCACGAAGGCATCCTTCCCCTTAGGCAGATAGTCCTCGAGGTTTCGCCGTAATTAAATAACCTAACCTAACCTATCTCCTGAGATGAAAGTAAAGGAGTGGAGTTGACGAGTGAAATCGCTCATCATAGCACATTAATTTAGTATATGGTATAGTTTTGTGAGAGCATAAGGTTTAGACTTTAACTTCGTTAGATTTGATTGTGTTTTTCGCCCATGCTATCTAGTTCGAAGCACCGGGTTTTGCTGTTTAAAATTAAGTTAGAAGAAAAATACATGGAACGTCAAAATAGAGATCTGAATTTCCTGTCGTTTATGATAGCCATTCATTCCAATAATGTTCTTTACATCTAACCATAAAAGAATGTATTTAAGTATTGTTAAGAGTTTTAATTCCATTAAGATGCCATAAACAAGTTTCAATCAAGGATGTCTTCCCGGTTCTCAGATGCTAAATTTGTTACCAATAATTTTATATTTTCTCTTTTTAAATTTTTAATTAACTTTCTTCATATAATTAATTAATTATTTATCTTTTTAGAATTAATTAGTTGACTTTATTTATAAACTTTATCTAATAACTTTGTTTATAGAATTCTGTTATAGGATAAAGTCCAATGAACAATTTTCTTAGCGCCGGTTGGCGACTTGAACTCTTCCTTTCTTCTCCGTTGTCATTACCATTGCATTCAAAAGTTTGTGATTCAGTGGCGTAAATTTGTTTCTTTTGATCTAAATATAAATTCCACTTCCCTAAGCAGGGTGCTCTTGGCTGAAATCAGGAGAATGTAGCAGAACTGTTATTGATCTTTTATTTAAAACTAGAACTGTTAGTGAAAATAGCAATACGTTGGTCTATTGCGTCAAGAACAGGAGCGCTTTTGTTAAAGAAAATAAATGTAATTTGAGATTAAACAAGTCATTTAATTACTAGAGAGAAAAACCTAGGTTCGGATTTTCACTGAAACCCACGATATTCTAAGGACACTATTGCATTTCACTGTTTCTCAGTAAAATTATTCTATCCAGTGTTATCACATTTAGTCGCAAATATGAGCTTGTTTCCTTTAGAAGATTCTACACGAAAGATTTTTCTTTGGACAAACAGACCTAGTGCGCTTTACCATATTCAAACAGCCAATGTATTCGGCTCATAACAGTGAATTTCTGTTGTTAATGAATATCAGTTTTAAATTGCTGTATATACAGTAATCAAAATTTTACTTTACATAACAGGAATTCAAAATAAAGCTATTAAGCATCTTTAGCATTTGTAAATGATTTCACAACTATAAATAATTAATTATATGAGTATATTTATAACTAAAATTAACTTAGAAATTATAACAAGATAGTTACAGTAATAAACTTACGAATATTATATAACTCTGCTGAAAAGTTAAAATAATTTATTTCCCTTTAATTATTTTACTTTGTTTTGCGATAGGATTTCATCTTTACTCCTAATGCCTCGCATATTTGAACATATTAGCTCTCAGCCTAATAGGCTCACAAATTGGAGACACTAGAATAAATTTTATTGATAAATCAAATCCTATAATTTTATTCCAAGTTTTGCACCTTTAAAAATATTTAAAAAGCATGTAAACTTAATGCGCAATGAAGTGATCTATCTGCTCAATAATTTCGCCCACCAGCGGCCGAGCGGTAAAGTCGCTGAACACTGGTAGTTCGGTCTGTGGTTCGAATCCCGCGAACGGGCTGGCTACATGGGTGTTTTCGTGGTTTTCCCCATGTGTAACGTGTATACGAGTCAGTTTCCCTTAGAAAGTCCGGCCCACCAGCGGCCGAGCGGTAAAGTCGCTGACCACTGGTAGTTCGGTCCGAGGTTCGAATCCCGCGAACGGGCTGGCTGCATGGGTGTTTTCGTGGTTTTCCCCATGTGTAACGTGTATACGAGCCAGTTTCCCTTAGAAAGTCCTCCACGAAGGCATCCCGTCCCTTAGGCAGATAGCCCTAGTGTGCTTTACCATAATTAAATACACATCACAAACCACCGCTCAATAATTTCAAAACACTTATTTTTTGCAAAGGTTAATAGAGACTTAATATGAATATATCCCCCCCCCCTTATTTGATAGCAAACAAATTAGCATTTTGGCTTTACATTCATATTTGGTATCGATTATTTTGACGATATCAGTTGATGAAATAGTTAATCTTTCATATCTTTCATTAGAAACAACTATAGCAGAACGTTTTCAATATTTTATGGTTGTCATGCCCCACCTAATCAGAATGTTTAACGATCTATGCCGCACGCCATGATAAAAGACGCAAGATCTCTAACTTTCATGTTACATGACAAATAGCCAGTTCTAAAGTTATAGTAATTCGATACAGCATTAAATCATGAATTTCACATGGA